GACAAGGATGGGGACAAGGATGCAGATAGGGGTGAAGAGAGGGGTAGGGGCAGGAAAAGCGCTGGAGAGATGGGGATGGGGTATAAATGGGGATGGGATGGGAACGAGGCCAGGAACGGGAGTGGGAATTGGGATGGGAACAGGGCTGGGGTTGAGATGGGGACCACGACAGGGGCACTGAGAGTCCATTGCCCACCTTCCCCCCCTCCCCCCTTCTTCCCCCAGGGTGAACCCGGCATCGCAGGCTTCAAGGGTGAGCAAGGACCGAAGGGCGAGACGGTGAGTTTTGGGGGGGCCCATCCAGTCCCCGCCATCTGGGGAGGACCCCGCTGCGGGGCCGCGTCTCTAACGAACCTCTTCCCCTAACGAGGCCCCTCGAGGGGCAGCGTCCCCCCTCCTGCAGCAGGGGGTGGAGGGGGAACAATAGGCTCTGTGTTAGGGCCGCGCTGCGCCCCCCCCTCGGCCCCGGGGCCGGGGACATTCCCCCATCGCTTCATTAACCAACCTCAATGCGTGGGGCCGCTTCCCACTGTGGGGCCGCTGAGCCCCGGCGCCGTTGTGCGCGGACCCCCGGAGATGGGGGTTTTGGTTGGGGGGCGGGGGGAGCTGCGAGCTGAACCCCAGCCCCCAACCCGTCCTGGTTTGCTGCTCTGACCCCCTTTTCCTCCTCTTCCTCAGGGTCCTGCAGGACCCCAAGGTGCCCCCGGGCCGGCTGGCGAGGAAGGCAAGAGAGGAGCTCGTGGTGAACCTGGTGCCGCTGGCCCTGTGGGCCCCCCCGGAGAAAGGGTGCGTGCAGAGCGCTGCCCCCCACCTTAAAACAAAGAAACCCAACAACCAACCCTGACTTCGCCCCTCTTCTTCCTCCATAGGGCGCTCCTGGCAATCGTGGATTCCCCGGGCAGGACGGGCTGGCCGGACCCAAGGTGGGATCGTGGGGTTATGGGGGGGTCCTATAGGCAGTGCCGACTCCCTGTGCTCCCCCCTCCAACCTGTGCCCCCCTCCCACCCCACACAGGGTGCTCCAGGTGAACGCGGCCCCGCTGGTCTCGCCGGTCCCAAAGGTGCCACCGGTGACCCTGGACGTCCTGGAGAGCCTGGGCTGCCCGGAGCGAGGGTGAGAGCTGGGGGGGGGGGGACAGAGCCTCCTCCCCATGGGGGGGGGGGGGGGGTGCTGGGGGGCTCAGATGGGGCAGAAGGATGTGGAGCGGTGGTGGGGGCTGCCGAGGTCAAGTGAGGAGGGGGTTTGGGGGCAGTTCGGGGGGTTTTGCAGCTGGTTAGGGGACGTTTGGGGTCAGTTGAGGAACGTTTGGGGTTGGTTGAGGAGATCGGTGGTTGGTTAAGGGACATTTTGGGTTTGTTAAGGAGCATCTGTGTTGATTCAGGAGCATTCGGGGCTGGTTAGGGAGCATTTGAGGTTTGTTACAGAGCATTTGGGGTTGGTTAAGGAGCTTCTGGGGTTGATTCTGTTGGTTTTAGGTGCTCTTTGGGGTTGGTTCGTTTGCTCTTTGGCTCCACTCAGGGTGAACTTTGGCATCAGCTGAGATGCACTTAGGGGTAGTTATGGTGCAGGTGGGGTTCATTACGGTGCATCTGGGGGGAAGATGCTCTTTGGTGCTAATTAATGTTCTCTGTGGGGTGACTTAGGGTGCATTTGGGATGAGTTAAGTTGCTTTTTGGGGTTACCAAAGATTGGGCTTGCTAAAGAAGCTCTTAAAGGCCGCGCAGCCCCCTATGCCGTCATCCCAGCTCCTCTTCAGCCCTGGAGCTGGGCAGGACAGGGGCTCCCAATGTGTCCCCCTCCCAATTTGGGACTCCCAGCTGCTGCAGCCCCCATTGCTTCCTTCCCCCACAGGGTCTCACCGGCCGCCCCGGCGATGCGGGACCTCAAGGCAAAGTCGGTCCGACTGTAAGTGATGCTCCATGGGGTGGGGGAAGGAGGGTTGGGGGTGGCTGTCGTGACCCACGCTGATGTCCCCCTCCCCATATATAGGGTGCTCCTGGCGAGGATGGCCGCCCCGGCCCTCCCGGCCCTCAGGGTGCTCGTGGGCAGCCCGGTGTGATGGGTTTCCCCGGTCCCAAAGGCGCTAATGTGAGTATTGACCTTTGTGAGTTTTCTGCCCCAAAATGGAGCAGTGAAGGTCAGTGCAGGTGTGATCCCATCCTCTGTCCTCCCTGTAGGGTGAGCCTGGAAAAGCTGGAGAGAAAGGACTGCCTGGCGCCCCAGGGCTGCGGGTGAGCTCCTTCTGCCCCTCCGACCCCATAAAATCACCTTTTGGGGTTTCCCTTGCACTGTGCTCAGTGTGCGGTTGGGGAAACTGAGGCACGGGGCTGAGTGTTGGGGATTTCTCCTCTGCAGGGTCTTCCTGGTAAGGATGGGGAGACAGGAGCTGCTGGACCCCCCGGACCCGCTGTGAGTGTCACTGCTTTTCTTTTTGGGGACAGATGTTTGAAATGTGGGGCTGGGGGGGTGTAGCCCCCGGATCTGGGTGGAAGATCATGCCAGGCATGCTAGGGATACAGGGGGGGCAAAACCCCCAGTGTTGAAATGTGGGGATTTTGTGTCCCAGCTGCTCCACCCCGGTGTGATTTTTGATTTTGTCCAAAATCTTGGGGTGGGTGAAGGGCTGCAAAGGGGTGAATCCAGGAAGGGGGAGGGGGGCGCCTCAGAGCCGTCACTGCTGTCCTTCCTTCCTTTAGGGTCCTGTGGGTGAGAGAGGAGAGCAAGGAGCCCCCGGTCCTTCTGGATTCCAGGTGAGTGGGGACACACAGGGGGGAATTGGGGTGATGAAAGTGGGCACCCCCCCCCTCACACCTCTCCTTGTCCCCAAACAGGGACTGCCCGGACCACCAGGTCCCCCTGGAGAGAGCGGCAAACCCGGAGACCAGGTGAGGCCATTCATCCCTGGGCTGCAAGGGGGGCTTAGCCCTCTCTGACCCCCCCCCAGCACTGACTCCCCCCAGTGCTGACTCCTGGCTCTCCCCTCCTCTCTGCAGGGTGTTCCCGGAGAAGCTGGTGCCCCCGGTCTTGTTGGTCCCAGAGTGAGTATTGCTCATCCCCCTGCTCGGGGACAGGGATCCTCCTGTCCCACAGAATGTTTGGGGGGCTCAGGTGGGGAGCAGAATCCAAACAACTCCACCAAAGCCATCGGACCCTCACGATTCCAGTGGCTCGGTGTCCCCTCTCCTCCCAGTTCACCCCAGTCCCACCTGGGATGGATGCACTGCCCTCTGTCCTGAGGACAATGCCATTGTTTCCCTCGCTGTGGCCTTGGGGGGCTTCTCTCTGATCGTCTCCCCCCACCATAGGGTGAACGTGGATTCCCCGGTGAACGCGGCTCTCCCGGTGCCCAAGGGCTGCAGGGTCCCCGTGGGCTGCCTGGAACGCCTGGCACTGATGGACCCAAGGTGGGTGACAGAGGGTGGGTGGCACAGTGCCACCAGCACGGATCCGTGATGCCATCGGAGCCCCGATGACCGCACTGCTGTTCTGCTTTTAGGGTGCGACCGGTCCGGCTGGTCCCAATGGTGCCCAGGGTCCCCCAGGGCTGCAGGGAATGCCTGGTGAGAGAGGAGCAGCTGGCATCGCTGGCCCCAAAGGTGACCGGGTAAGGTGATGCATCCCAGAAGTGTCCTGAGCGACGTCAGGTCTCAGCTCAGCTCACACTCATCCCATCCCACAGGGAGATGTTGGTGAGAAAGGACCCGAAGGAGCTCCGGGCAAGGATGGCGCACGTGTAAGTGGGACACGGCCGTGGGGTGGGCTGGCAAAGGATGCTCACAGAGACCACGTCCTCATCTGTCTCTCTCCTGTAGGGTCTGACGGGTCCCATTGGTCCCCCTGGCCCCGCTGGCCCCAACGGCGAGAAGGTGAGAGCAGCATCACAACGCCCCACAGCGCGCCCCATGGAACGACCCCAGTGCATCCACCTCTCCATCTTTTCTTTTCCAGGGTGAATCCGGCCCTCCTGGTCCATCTGGTGCTGCTGGTGCCCGTGGAGCCCCCGTAAGCACAACGTCTGCAGCCCCTGGGTGCCTCTAACCATAACCCTAAACCCCCATCAACCCCCTTATCAACCTCCCCCATTTCTCTCCTTTAGGGCGAGCGTGGCGAGCCCGGTGCCCCTGGTCCTGCTGGATTTGCTGGCCCCCCGGTGAGTGTTTCACCCCAAAGCCCCCATCACACACTCAAGTTATCACCCCTGTCCTCACCCCACTCATGGTGGCTGCTGTCCCCATCAGGGTGCCGACGGACAACCCGGTGCCAAAGGCGAGCAGGGAGAACCCGGGCAGAAGGGTGACGCCGGCGCTCCTGGTCCCCAAGGTCCCTCCGGCGCTCCTGGCCCTCAGGTACAGCCCCAAAATGGGGCAAACCCCCAAATTTGGAACATCACAGCCCCAATGCAGGCACACTGCAGCTCCTGTTCGTATTCATAACCTGTTTTTCTTTCCTTCCCAGGGTCCAACTGGTGTCACCGGTCCCAAAGGAGCTCGTGGGGCTCAGGGTCCCCCTGTGAGTACCAGAGGCTGCAGGATGGGGAAGGAATGGCCGTGGGGCTGAGCTGTGTCTGAGCCTTGTTTCTCCTCTCTGTTCACTGATTCTGATTCCCTCCCCAGGGAGCCACAGGATTCCCCGGAGCCGCCGGCCGCGTGGGACCACCCGGCCCTAATGTGAGTCTGGGGGGGTTCTGGCATTGCCCCCACCTGGGGTTTGGGTGCTGCTTCCCTGTGCTGCGTGTTGGAGGGGGCGCTGTGTCCCTGCGTGGGCATCTGGGGTTTTCCTCCTCAGGTCTCTCTGATGGTGGCTTTTGGCCATTGCAATGATAGAAAAGAAATTTCCTAAGGAAAAGAGCTCCCCGACCAAGCAGCACTGTGATGTGGGTGATGAAGATCGGCCACCTCTGCTTTGCACCAACGCTGCTTTCCTTCCTTTTAGGGTAACCCAGGCCCCCCCGGACCCCCTGGCTCTGCTGGCAAAGATGGCCCCAAGGGTGTTCGTGGTGATGCTGGCCCCCCTGGCCGTGCTGGAGACCCCGGCCTCCAAGGCCCCGCCGGCCCCCCTGGCGAGAAGGGCGAACCCGGCGAGGACGGCCCCGCGGTGAGGATTTCGGGGGTCTCCTCCCTCTGTGCACCCCCTGACTGCATGGTGCCATTGTTCTGGGTCTGATCCCCCTCTCTGCTGCCCTGCAGGGTCCCGACGGCCCCCCAGGGCCTCAAGGCTTGGCAGGACAGCGTGGTATCGTGGGTCTCCCAGGACAGCGTGGTGAGAGAGGCTTCCCTGGACTTCCAGGGCCATCGGTGAGTGGGTCGCTCTCATTCGGGTGCACTGAATCCTATGGGGTGCAGATATGTGGGGGCTGCAATGCTCTGGAGCCCATCTCAGGGGTCTCCAGCCCCTTGGTGCAGCCCGTGGGGGCACCGTTTCCAGGTGGTTTGGGGTTTTGCAAAGCTCTTCTTCCCCACCAGGAGCCGCTGGCGCAAGGCTTAAAGCCGGAGCAGGAAAACCACTGGTGGTTATTTGTTGCACAGGGGTCTGGGAGCCATGAAAAATGGGGAAGGGGCTGCGCTGGGGTCTCTCGCACTCATGCACTTTTTCCCTCTTTTTCAGGGAGAACCTGGAAAGCAAGGAGCACCTGGCTCTGCAGGCGACCGAGGTCCCCCCGGCCCCGTGGGCCCCCCTGGGCTGACAGGTCCTGCTGGAGAACCCGGGCGTGAGGTAAGCAAAACCCCAGCATCATCACACCAGCACCGAGCATCACCATCATGGCACAACTCAGCTCCCGGAGCTCCCTGGTGTCTTTTCTCCAGCATCGAAAGGAGACTTTGCACAAATGCTGCTCCACCCCAGGGTTATAACATCCTCTCTTCCTCCTAGGGCAACCCCGGTGCTGACGGACCCCCGGGCAGGGATGGTGCAGCTGGCGTGAAGGTGAGCTTGCCGTGCGCACCCCATGAGTGCTCACTATCCCTGTGCCAAAAGCCGTGGGGTTTTGCACAGATCTGACCTCCCCACCCTCTGCTCACAGGGTGACCGTGGTGAGACCGGCCCTGTGGGTGCCCCCGGTGCTCCTGGAGCCCCCGGTGCTCCTGGTCCCGTTGGTCCCACCGGAAAACAAGGAGACAGAGGCGAGACGGTGAGTGCTGCGTGAGGGTTTAGGATTTAGGGTCTCCTTATGGCTGAAAATCTGCTGTGATTCCCCTCGAGGTTTGTTCCTCGCACCAGTGCTCCAGCTGAGAGCATTTAGAGATGCTTTGAGGCACAGAACGGCTGATTGTCGCTGTTGCTTGGATTTGGGGTATGGTGGGAGGGACTGATTCGGACACCTCTGAAATGCCAAATTCATGGCTTCGAGGTGGTGTTTCAGGTCACTGGCACCTTCTGATGTCCTTCTTTTCTCCCTGCAGGGTGCACAAGGGCCCATGGGTCCCTCTGGTCCCGCTGGAGCTCGAGGAATGCCGGTGAGTGACGCTGAGCACATCAGCACATCCCACGTGCAAAGTGCCGGGTGCTGCGTGCCGGGCAGGGCTCTGCCCACCCTGAGCTCAACACAGCGCTGTCCCCACTTCAGGGTCCCCAAGGGCCTCGTGGTGACAAAGGTGAGACAGGAGAGGCTGGAGAGAGAGGGCTGAAGGGCCACCGTGGCTTCACCGGTCTGCAGGGTCTGCCCGGACCACCCGTAAGTTGGTTTGGGGAGCGCTGAGCCCCCCTGGAGGATGCAGCTCCTTTGGGGTCTCTGTGGGCACCGAGGCTCTGCCAGGGCTGATGTGCTGACCACAGAGCTGTGACACCCCGGCTTCCTCCTCAGGGCCCTTCTGGAGACCAAGGTGCTGCCGGTCCCGCTGGTCCCTCCGGTCCCAGAGTAAGTCCTGGCAGTGGTGTTTGGGGTGGTGAAATGGGAAGGAGCAGCAGTGCCCTCTCTGGGCACCTGCAGCCTCTGTCAGCTCCTGATTGCTCATTAGCACCAGGAGTTAATGGCTCCCCATCGCCTTGGTGTAGGGAACCTGCTTTGGCAAGGGGGGTTGGACTCGATGATCTCTCGAGTTCCCATCCAACCCCTACAATTCTGTGATTCTGTGATTCCCTGCCCTGATGCCTTGCAATGCCTTCAACCCCCATTTTGGGGCTCTCTCTTAGGGTCCCCCTGGTCCCGTCGGCCCCTCTGGCAAAGATGGCTCCAACGGCATGCCCGGCCCCATCGGTCCTCCCGGTCCCCGCGGACGGAGCGGTGAACCTGGCCCTGCGGTGAGTCCCAGTTGTGGGGAGGCAGGGAACGGAGTCCAGCTCTCAGAGCAGCCCATCAGCATCACTTCCTTCTCCCATAGGGTCCTCCTGGAAATCCCGGTCCTCCCGGTCCTCCCGGCCCCCCAGGCACCGGCATCGACATGTCAGCTTTTGCCGGACTGGGTCAGACGGAAAAGGGCCCCGACCCCATCCGCTACATGAGGGCAGACGAGGCGGCCGGAGGACTGCGGCAGCACGACGTGGAGGTGGACGCCACGCTCAAATCCCTCAACAATCAGATCGAGAGCATCCGCAGCCCCGAGGGTTCCAAGAAGAACCCAGCCAGGACCTGCCGCGACATCAAGCTCTGCCACCCCGACTGGAAGAGCGGTAAGAGCTCCGTGTCTGCTTCTCCCATCCTCTCCTCCTCTCCAAAGAAGAGCATCCCCAGCATCCTTGCACCGACCTGCACGCAGGTTGGATGTTAGGAAAGGTTTCTGCTCCATAAGAGGGGTTGGGCAGCGGACTGGGCTGCGCAGGGATGCAGGGCAGTCCTTGTCCCCAGAGGTGATGGGGAGCTGTGGAGATGTGGCACTTGGGAACGTGGCTTTTCCAATCTTAAAGACTCTGTGCTTCCATCGGTGGGCATGGTGGTGATGGGTGGACATTCCTTGGTGATCTTTGAGGTCTCAATGACTCCCAGCCCTCCCCAGCCCTGTGAGCATCCCATCTGTCCTCCCCGCTGCAGGAGATTACTGGATTGACCCGAACCAGGGCTGCACCTTGGACGCCATCAAAGTTTTCTGCAACATGGAGACAGGAGAGACCTGCGTCTACCCGACCCCCAGCAGCATCCCCAAGAAGAACTGGTGGACCAGCAAGACAAAGGACAAGAAGCACGTCTGGTTTGCAGAGACCATCAACGGCGGTTTCCACGTAAGCGATCCCGGCTGGGCTGTCCTTCCTTGCGGTTATGCTGATGGATTTTAATGAAGTTGTAGAGGGCGATTCTGAAGGCATGGAGTTGGGTCGGTTTAGCTCCACAAATCAAAGGAAAAGGATGGGATGCAGCAGCTGAGCTCCCTCTGTTTGTTTGGCCCAGAAAAGATGAGGATGAGGGGAGGCTCACGGCCCTACAGCCCCTCATGGCCCCTTATGGCCCTACAGCACTGTTAGGAAAAGTTCTGCCCCAGAGGCATGGAGCAGCCCTGAGATGCTGGAGCTCAGGGAGCGTTGGGAAAATGCTCTCAGGCATCCAGTTTGGGTTTTGGGTCAGGTCCTGTGTATCCTGATGTACAGAGGGCAACCAGCTCATGGGTGGGCTTTAAAGACCCTTCCAACCCTACCATTCCATGGTTCTGTGACCTTTCAGGACCCTTCCAACCCTACCATTCCATGGTTCTGTGACCTTTCAGGACCCTTCCAACCCAGCCATTCCATGGTTCTGTGACCTTTAAGGACCCTTCCATCCCAACCTTTCCATGGTTCTGTGACCTTTCAGGACCCTTCCAACCAAGCCATTCCATGGTTCTGTGATCTTCAAGGACCCTTCCAACCCAACTATTCTGCTATTCTATTGGTTTTACGATCTTTAAGGATCCTTCCAATCCAAACCACTCCATGATTTTTTTCAGCCATTTGGGAACCTGAAGCATGGAAGTCTTCCCAAAAAGCTCCTGCACGTAAGGTGGTCGTGATGCCACAGGCTTTAACTCCTCACCTCTTCCCTCCAGTTCAGCTACGGCGATGAGAACCTGTCCCCCAACACCGCCAGCATCCAGATGACCTTCCTGCGCCTCCTGTCCACCGAGGGCTCCCAGAACGTCACCTACCACTGCAAGAACAGCATTGCCTACATGGACGAGGAGACGGGCAACCTGAAGAAAGCCATCCTCATCCAGGGATCCAACGACGTGGAGATCAGAGCTGAGGGCAACAGCAGGTTCACCTACAGCGTCTTGGAGGACGGCTGCACGGTAGGTTGCTGGGCGCCTGCAAAAGAAAGGCACAGATGGGGAGGTGGGGCTGGGGCTGTGGGGCTGAGGTTGGAGCAGCTGACAGCATCCCTGCCTTCCTTTTCTCCCCAGAAACACACTGGCAAATGGGGCAAGACTGTCATCGAGTACCGGTCGCAGAAGACCTCGCGCCTGCCCATTGTAGATATTGCACCTATGGACATTGGCGGAGCCGAGCAGGAGTTTGGCGTGGATATTGGCCCAGTCTGCTTCTTGTAAAAAGAGTTGTTTTATTTGTGTGTTTGTTGTTTGTTTGTTTGTCGGTTTTGTTTTTTTAAAAAGAAAAAGGAATCCAGCCCAATCCCATAAAAGCAAACCCAATCCCACCCCCGAGGACCCATACGTTCCCATCACAACTTCTGCACTGAACGGACGGCACGACCCCCGTGTTCCCCTTCGGGACCCTCCAGCGCCGTCACCGGGCAGACAGCGACATAAAACCATGGGCTTATTTATTTATTGCCTTCCTGGAAGGCCGATTTCTTTAGGTCGGGTGGAGGTGGGAATCGATCTGGCAGGTATGACGCCCCCCCCCCCCCCCCCAAAAAGGGGTCTTGGCAAAACACAGGTATCGCGGAATCCCCTCCCCTCCCCGTGTATCGCAGCAGGAGTGCTAATGTATCATACGACAGAAATGGTGCTATTCTTGTAAAACAAGTCTGTATTTTTTAACATCAGTTGATATAAAAACAAAACAAAAAAAAAAAAAAAAAAAAAAAAACTTTTGGTGGAAAGTAAAACCGCCGTGCGGGTCGTTCTTGTGTTTGTTTGCCGTCCAGTCGCCCCCCTTTAAAGGTTTGGGTTCAGATCTCAGCCTTACAGCTTAGAATCACAGAATCACCAAGGTTGGAAAAGACCTCCAAGCTCATCCAGTCCAACCGTTCCCCCATTCCCAACAGCTCCCACTGAACCACGTCCCTCAACACAACATCCAGCCTTTCCTTCAACAACCCCAGGCTCAGTGCCACCACCACCTCCCTGGGCATCCATTGCAGTGCTGCCCACCTTTCTGAACAGTAATACTTCCTCATGTCCAGCCTGAATCTCCCCTGCCGCAGCTTGAAGCCATTCCCTCTGCTCCTATCACTGATGACACGAGAGCAGAGGCCGACCCCCAGCTCACTGCAGCCTCCCTTCAGGCAGTCATAGAGAGCAACTATTAGAGATACGGGAAGGGGATGAAACCACAACTAAACAAATCCCTCAGAGAAAAGCAAACCCCTCCGCCTTCCCTGCTCCAGTCCCATTTTGTGCACACATAATTTAGGGATGGATTCTGCACAACTGAAAGCGGAAGAGCTCACGGCCACGGGGCGCAACGTGGAGCCCTTGTGGTAAAGCAGCCCTGCCTTTAGGCTTTATTAAAACAAGACATATGTAAATGCTGCTCTTAAGCAGCTTGCTAATTAGAGGGAAAGCCCCAGAAGTTTAATTGTTTTTAACTATCTGCAAGAAAATTAGCCCAGCGACCCCATAAGAGCTGCTGGCCCGCAGGTTTCACCACAGCACTGCTGTTACTTTTTGCACCAGCTGACAGCAGTCCTTCATTAAGAGAAATTATGACTTGAAAGGATTAAAAACCCCTTTAAAGAAATGTTACTTTGGGGCCCTGGTCTCAGTTTTAAGCGCTGGCAGCTGGCAGTGCTGCAGCCCAAGCACCTGAAGCAGCTTTCCAGGGCTGGGAGCTGCAAGAAACGTTGGCAGAAGAAATTCATTAGAAAGGATTGGAGGATTAAGGAGGATTTTCCAAAATAAACGCCCTTTATAAGGCCGAGTGCCACATGACCCAGAGGGCACCCCCAATTACCAGGGCTCTCCGTGTCCCACAAGCTGTTTCCCTGCTCGGATAAGCAGCAGCATGGGGGATCCCGCAGGCTCTGAGCTCGCCCTCACCAGGTAAAAGCTGCTCTGCTTTTCGGATCTGGCCCCCAGGGAGCAGAAGAGCATCTGTTACCTGCAGCCAAAGCACCGCAGCAAAGGGCTGGGGGTCAGCAGGAAGCTCTGCCACGTCCTGCTGCCACCCACGAGGGGACACAGAGCCCCCCCACGCTGTGAGGGCTGCAGGAAGCTCAGCCAGCAGGACGAGAAAGGGCAGAGCGTGTGAGCCCTGCAGCTTCCCTACAGAAAACTCAACTCAGCAGAGTTAGAAGCTGCTGGGGGTTTATCAGCACGGCGTGAGGAGCTCGTGATGGGGACGGTTGCAGGGACAGCAGAGCCGAGGTCCGCGAACCCAAACCCTGCAGCCTGCGTGGCAACGGAGGTGAGGCGAGGATTTCAGCCCTCACTGCCCCGAATCAGCAGCAGGAAAAAGGTGACACGATGCCAGTCACCGAACTGGGACAAAAGGTTGCTTTCCACAGGACGCAGACACAGCGTTTCCTCGGTTTCCATGTAAAGGCACCGCTCATCGCACAGCCCCGCTTTAACAAGCGGGCTTCAGCTCTAGCAGCACTGCTGGGAAGACACTCCACCTCTTAAAAAACAAAGGGCATTTTTATTTCACGCTTGCACAAAAGAAAGCCTCCTTCATTGACAAAGCACCGGAGCCATTTCCCCTGCAGGCTTTGGCCCCTTTGTTTCCACACAGAGGTGGATGGAGAACAGCACAGAGTGGGTGCAGAGGAAACACGGGAGGCTGCAGTGACCTGGTTCCACAAAAACCAAAAAGGGAAAAAGCAGAACAAAGTTCTCCAAGCTGCAAACACAGCAGGCTGAACTGCAGCAGGCTGA